ACATTGGCCTTCCTCCAATCTGCTGGAACTTCTCCCGTTCTCCAAGAACTCTCAAAGATGGTTGCCAATGGTTCCGAAATGACTTCCGCTAGTTCCTTCAATACTCTTGGGTGTAGTTGATCTGGCCCTGGGAACTTGAACTCATTTAGAACAGCCAGGTATTCCTGGACGACTTGTTTCCCAATTTGGGGTTGCTTCTTTTTTTACTTATTAACTTCTTTAAAACAGTAATTTTTGTTGATAAGGAAGTAATATTTCCCTAGTTGTTCATTATCAGCATTTTAAATGGTGATAATGAAATATGTGTGCTAGAGTCAAATACATCTGTTCTGACAATATTTCTTGATACAGGAAGAAATAAATGCAGAAACATCCCATTAAAATGGCTAGTCCCCCTGAAGAGAAATTTTAAGGCTAAGGGAAGCTAGTTTCTCAGAGCCATATTCTATATAGTATACTCTACGGTCCCTAATTTTTACCTTGCTGCAGTCTGCATACAAACTAGATATGAAATCTTGTTTCTTTACCTGCTGCACAATGAAGAATGATTATAGGGAAGTGTGTATGCAATACACCACATTTCCTTGCATTTTGGCCAGCAATTTCCTTAAATATATTATTTTTGCCCATTATTTATTATAGCACCTTAATGTTATAACAAGTATATGATCAAATATCTCTGTTTTCCCTGGTACAATTTCTTACCTGTAATTGAGATCCTGAAATAAATACCTCCAAGATAGAAGAGAGAGGAATTGTAGCAACATGGGAGTTGTTGGTTTGTGAAATAATAACTCAAGAAGTTTTGAGCACTTTTGCAGCTTTCAAAATCAGGTAATAATTCAGGATCAATATATTATTTTCCCTGCACTCCTTGGCATCCCAAAATGTGTCCCACCCTCACCTTGTAGTAGGATATGCTGCTAGTTTTTTTCTTTTATCTCATGGTTTATTTAACTAAAATAATGTTTGTACAGAAAATCATAGCAACATTAATGAATCTATAGCATATGCAAATCAGAAGAATTATCATGTGGAGGCTACTTACATTTCCCGATGTGAGCTGGAACTCAGCTGGCTAGCAAATGTTTATTGTCTTAAAATAGAACCAAAGCAGAATAAGGTATTCACAATGGAATTCAAATGAAACTGAAGCAGAAACCTAATCTTTAACACCATATTTTTCACTTTAGGGTAGGAATAGGGAATGTTTTGACCTCCAGATGTTTTCAGAATGCTATTGCCATAAACCCTAGACAGGAGGGGCACTCATGAGGAATGATAGGAGTTGCAATCTGGAAACATCTGAAAGGTTATACATTCCCTAACCCTGCTCCTATGAAAAAACAATATATAATTAGCCTTCCAAGCATATAGTAAGATCACCAACTTTATGAAAACTGAGAGTGAGTCTATACTATAGACTTAATGCAGTTTGACGCCACTTTAATTTTATTTATTTATTTGTTTGTTTGTTTGTTTATACCCTACTTTTTTCCCTCAGAGAACTCAAGGTGGCTATCACACATGCTTGGATCAATTTAAAACAAAGCAAATGCTTTTAAAAAAATAGTATCGTGTGTCTGGTCAAAAATACAGTTGAAACATAATAAATAAAATTAAAATGCATTTTAAACATACAATCCCCATAAAACTCCCACCCACAACTCCCCCAGCAATGTGCCTGTTATCCTTTCCCAAATGCCTGTTGACAGAGAAAAGTCTTGACCTGCTTGTGAGTCGCTTTAATGAATACAGCTCAATGCTATGGAATCATGAGAACTGTAGTTTTATAAGGTCTCCTCTACCAAAGAGTGCTATCAAACTGCAATAATTTTACAATGTAAATGCACCCCAAGTGGTCTGCCGTTTTACTGTAACTTCCCAATTTTAATGTGAATCACAGCCCATTTTACTAACAGTTACCCATATTCCACAAGGTTTGCCAGATATGGGAAAATTTTGCAGAGGCATAAGAATCAAGCCAGGCACCACAAATAAATAGTGCCTTAGCAATGGCCAATTAAGTGCAAGACAACAGCTTCCATTTGTGTTCTTATTTAACCAGCAGGAGTTATTCATTGTCAGCCATTGGTAGATAAGAAAACTAATGGTGTGTTTGTGGCCAGTGAATAAAATGACAGTCATCCCACACTTCTTATATATTTGTCACCACTGGATGTAAATATTTATGGCTGCGATAACAAATCGCTTACCTCATTTGGCAATTCAGAGGCACTAGTCAAATTCAAGGGTCACTGACTGTTAGTGTAATATTTCTGCTGGAGGCAATGGCAGATCATGACTATAATATCTCCAGCAGCTGCAAATGACAGTGTGCAACTGTTTTTCTTCCAAAGATGTCTCCAGCTCTTACAAAAATAGGGTGGGGGGGATAAAGTAACAGTAGTGTTGATTTGATGAATTATTTCAATACTATATTTCAATACTGCCACAAAAAAGAGCTCAAAATATACTAAGCATTATTTTAGCATTAATGTAAAATGCTTCATAATATTTGAGACAACAGTTAGAGAAGAATACCAATCTGTATCTTAAATTGAAGCCAGTTCTAAAATATAGTGAGACCTCCGGATTCTTGGGATCCACAATTTCCAGTGTCTATGGATTGTTGCACCCCATACTAATGTAAATGATGGTGACATGGATGTGGACATACTGAAATTTGCACAGTAATGTCACTATTACATAATATCGGAGGTAGTAATGTGTGCAGTACTTGTTCCTTTTGTTTCATTTGTTGTGCACAAAATAGTAACACCCACTATGGTACAAAAATAGGCCCAAAATGAAAGAGTGACCACTTATATCTATTCACCTTATTTTTGGGCCATGTGGCACTCCTCACGTGACCTGCTGAGCATTGCCATGTGCTAGTATTTATTTACCTCTGAGACCTGTCTGATGGGCCAATAGGAGGATAAGAATGCCTTCAGCCTCACCTGCTGCCACTCTGTGAACAGAGAGGAAAGTATCATGGAAATACTGGTATCTTAAGTCCTGTTTTAAAACTCAGTTCTCTTCTGCAGATGGAGGGGAAAATATCTCAGAATTAGTGGTATCTTAAGCCCTATCTTTAAACTCAGTTCTCCTCTGCAGATCAAGGAGAAAACATCTCAGAATTAGTGGACTCTTAAGCCCTGTCTTTAAACTCAGTTCTCTTCTGCAGATCAAGGAGAAAACATCACAGAAATAGTGGTATCTTAAGTAACTCAGATGCTTTTAATCCAGGATATAAGGACACACCATGCCATTTCCAAAAATGATGGGAAGGGGAAGGGAATGTGCCTCTATTACCTCCCGTTAAAGAAGTGAAATAGTAGGGGTGAGCACTGGGCTGTGTGTGGTGTGTGGAGCATCTTTGACATTTGGAAGGAAGGAATGGTGACCTCCCTGTCCTTTCTCCCTCTTGCTGCTGCTCCTGAAGACGTAAGGGGTTGGGGCCAATGGGGGGGAGGAGAGAGGGAATGTTATTAAGATTTTATTTATAGACAGAAAAAAAATCCCTATAAAACGGGGGATAACCCAAATGTTATAAAATTTTGTGGGCTATGAGTGGTAGATGTGCCCTCCATGTGTGGTGATTTTCACCCCTCTATCCCTAAAACTGAGGTGATGGAGAGCCTGAGAAGGCCACCCATGTTAGCCAATGGTCCAAAAAATGTTCTTTTGGAGGCAGAATGAAAAACCTAATTTGGATAGGCGCCTGCTTTTGGGAGAGGCCCTTGAAAACAAAAATGGGGCCTTATGAATGAAACAAACAGAAATGGATAGTGATTCTATACAAATGCACAAGATTAATGAGAGGTGATAATCCATGTCTTCCTGAAGTGAACCCCTTGGATACAATGGGCCCACTGCACAAGAGTCTGGTTATTTTTTTCTAAAATGGTTTCAGATGGCATATTTAATAATCCTCACAAGGGATAACATTTGTTGGCCACATGGCCATCCACTCACTTCAAATGAGCATAGATAAAAACAAATATGTAAGACAATATGGAAGCCATCTTCAGTGGACTAATCCCTCTTCCTGAATCAAGACCTGAATCAATGACCTGAAAAGTATGTCTATTGTTATTTGTTTATACTCCACTTTCCTCTCTTAAACAAGACTCAAAGTAAAAACATTAAAATGTTATTTAAATCCTAAAACACATAAATATTAAAATGAAATGAAATTTAAAATGGCTAAAGCAAATAAATTAAAGTCTCATAAAACCATTAAAAACTGTGAAATAATTAAAGCACTTTATAGCACTCACTAGCTCATTCTTAAAAATGTTTTGCCTTAAAAGCCTGCTTGAGTCAAAAGATTTTAGCCTGCCATTTGGAAGCATAGCAGGGAGGGAGCCATTTGGCTTCCCTAAACAGAGAGTTCCAGAATCAAGGGGCAGCCCTCAAGAAGGTCTTCTCTCATGCCCCCATCAACTGGGCTTTCAATAGTGAGGGGAATGACAGAAAAGCATCTCTTGCAGATCTCAGAGTCCAGGCTGATTCACACAGGGGGACATGGTATGCAAATGATGAGCATGCCAATGATGGTGTCATGGATGATGGTGGTGAAAATCATAGTGTCCTGCACCAAAAAGTTAGGATTGTAGCTAACAAGATAATGGCACATTTGTGACCTCATCAGGATGGCAAATTTACAATTCAACTGCACGTCAGGCATGGAGCCCGCCAAATTACATCACATGATGTAGATCTACTTCTGGCAGGGCTACATGCCTGAAGTAAGGTCAAACTGTTATAAAAGGCAGCACTGGGAACAATGGGGGAAGCCGGCAGTAATGCTCCCCCCCCCTTGTGATGAAGTAAGGGGCATGAGGGTGATGTGGGGCATGGGGTGATGGGTTCTCCACACCCCACTCTGGATTCCCCATGATCCATTGCAAATCCCCCCACTATCACCCAGCTCAGTGACCTCAATGTGATGAGGTCGTTAGGAAGTGATTTTTCTGTATGGAAAGCAAATGTGCTTGTTTTGGCAGCATACAGATTAAACTGGAACAATATAGAGAAAATTAGCATGTCACCTTTGCAAGAATAACACATCCATTAATGAAGCATTCCATACTTGCAACTGACTATGTTACTGAATTAATGTTATGTAGTGGTTCATGTGTTGTACTACAGTTTTGGAGATTAGGGTTCAAATACCTACTCAGCCCTGCAAACATATTCATTAACTTTGGGTAAGTAACAATATCTTGACCTCAGAGAAAGGCAAATGCAATCACCCTTTGAAGCAATTTTACAAGAAAACCCAATGATAGGTTCACCTTAGAATCATAAGTCAGAAATAATTTGAAGACATACAATAGTAACATCAACAATCAGATGGAATACGGAATAAGAGTGATAGCTCATCCTCCATCCTGTGCCATGGAACACGGCTTTTCAGAAGACATTTTTGCAGGCCTTCAAAGACAGAAATCTGGCATAAATGCATCATAGTATGATATGCTATGAAAACAGCACTGAGAGTGGAGCCTAGTATGGTTTAAAGGTGTTTGCTGTCCCTCTTCTCCCTCTTTGATAGAACAATATAATCCCACCTACCTCAGTTAGTCTAAGCTTTGCTGGCCTCTGTTGGGGCAGGTAAGAATATTTTTCATTTCCGCAGGTTTTTATCTACTCTACATCATTGAATGGAGACTGTTAACAATGGACTTGCAGTGGAATTCACCACAGCTCATTTGCATCTCTTAGGGGTTACATTTTGATAAGTTAATAGCTAAAATAAAGCAGCTCTTTAAACCAAATATCATTATATAGTCTAATTTATTCTATGTTCATCAAAAATGCCATTTCTAGTTTTTGTGTGTATGGGTGACCTCTATCCTAAAAAGAATAATGTTTTATGCTCTCTCTTTCTTAAAGCTTGGTACTCTTAGAATAAGCTAATGGATTTTATGAATTGCTGTTTATGTTTTCCCTCTATAGCCTGACTGCTGAGAGCCATACCGGGAGCAAAAGGGATCAGGTTACATGATATGTTTTACTTTTTTTACATACTACTTTTATTTAAATGCAAAGACAAAATAGTGAATCTTGTGTCCAACATCAAACTTTTTTTGACCACAGTAAGAAACAGAAGGCTGGGCTATGGTAAAGGTAAAGGTTTTCCCCAGACATTAAGTCCAGTTCTGTCCGACTCTGGGGATTAGTGCTCATCTCCATTTCTAAGCCGAAGAGCCAGGGTTGACCATAGACAACTCCAAGATCATGTAGCCGTCATGACTTCACAGAGTGCCATTGCCTTCCCACTGGGGCAGTACCTATTGATCTACTCACATTTGCATGTTTTCAAACTGCTAGGTTGGCAGAAGCTGGGGCCTTTCAATCAACAAGTTCAGAAGCTCAACGGTTTAACACACTGCTCCACCGGGGACTCGAGATCTTTTTGATATAATGAAGATAAGAGAGATGCAGGATCTTAATTTTTATTTTTGTACAATACAGATGATGAAAAGAAACAGTTCCAAATAACTTCTTTAACAAATAATATTTTATTAGTTTCAGAGTAAATGCTTTGCTTTAAGTAAAACAAATACTTGGCATGAAAAACCAACAAATCAGGAAACCAATGTGTAAAGACAAAACCAGGCATGTACTAGTACACATGTGCTGACAAGCCTGACAGTGTTTCCTGTTTGGGAAAAATAATTAGATAAACATTAGCACACAATTCATTTTCCAGAAATTCAATAATTATTTTTCAAAGAACAAATTGCATGTTAAAGAAGGATTTCCAAGCAGTCTTGCTAGAATAATTATAGCAATTACAGACTTTTGGCAGTGTTCAAGACCATGAGAAATGGCAGAAGGAGCTTTGAGCTTAGATTTTCTACATTCTCTTTCTCTTAATTTTTCCATTAAACTATACCTTCACCAAAATCAAATAATGTTGGATCAATTTAGAATTTAGACATTTTTGTGTTTAGGATCCCTGTCATATTATTTGTCTAGTGGGTGCACTCAACTACTTTATGCAATTCAAATCACATTGCTAGTTAATTTTCTGACTGACTAGAGACCAGGTACTTATGCCTGAGATCACTGCTTTATAGCCATTGCAACCCACTGAGAATGTTTCTGCAATTGTTGGATGGTATAACAGTGCAATTAAAAACTGCTGATTTTCACCTCTTTTTTTGCTTTACAAAAGAAAAAAACAACCTCAGAACAAATTTCTGCCTAAATAAAATCCACAATGTCCTGTTCTCCTATGTCAATAGTAGAGTATTGAACAAAAACAGTGAATCAAAAGAGCAACAAAGGGGAGGTACCCTTAGTAAACCACTTGGAAAAATTAATTGAATTTTTGCTGCTGCTTCTTTCTCCTTCTCCCTCTTCCTCCTTTTCATGTTAGTATTATATAGACACCTTGTTCTGATTCCCTTAGGAAGTTCACAATAATAGCCTAAACCTTGGAAGTCACTCTTCTAGCTACCTGTCTATCCAGGAGTGGCTCAACCCATTACGCAAAGTAAGCATTTGAAGTATAGTTGATTTTGCCCAGGGGCGCTCTTGGGGGAAAATAGACCTTGACATATGCGAGTTGTAGTTACTGGGATGTATAGTTCCTCACAATCAAAGAGCATTCTGTACTCCACCAATGATGGAATTGAACCAAATATGGCACACAGAACTCCCACAATGAACAGAAAATATATATCAGTTAGGCCTGGGTAACAACGGAAAAATTTGTTTCTAAAATCGATTTGTATTTGGGGGGTTTTTTTGTTTCGATATTTAAAATAATTACAAAATTTTCCTTTTAAAAAGTTCGATATTTACGAAATTTCGTAAATGGTAAAAAATTAACGAATCGATTTCCGAAACAATAACGAATTGATTCATTAATGGCGGATGCGACCGCGAAATACGCTAAAAAACCTCCAAAACCTTCTGAAGCTTCCCTCTCCCTCTGTTGTTGACTGTTGGTGTGATATTATAATTTTTTTTCACTAATTAAACCATAAAACTGGCCCAGACATGCGGAAATAATAACGAAACGACCTCAAAACAATAACGAAACGAATACAATATCGAAATACGAAGCATTTACAAAACGTTTTTGAAAATTCGTTTTTTAATAATTGCTCCAGAATGGTTCGTTATCGTTTTGTAATTGGAAAAATTAACGAATTATTAACGAATTACGAATTAACGAAACGAAACCGCCCAGCCCTACTGAATATAAGTAGGCATATATGGGGAGGAAGCAAAATACTGTTTGCTTACAGTTGAAAATTACCTAGAGCTGCCTCTGCATCTATCACATATTAAGAAGAAAAGGGACATATCAACACGGACCAGAAATATCATACTCACCTCATAGGCTCTCTGACACTGACACAAGTTGTTCACAAGTCATTTGCAATGCATTTCTTTGGACTTCAGGGGTTTTTTTACAGAAAAAAAGTTTTACAGAAAATCTGGACTGTTAGCTATGTGGTTGTACTTCTAGGCAGTATCATTTCACTGTATAATCGGATGGGAAAGTTAGTGATTGAAAGAGAAGAGCATTCTTGCCAAAAAGTGATTCTTTCCGAGGTTATATTTTATTCTTTAAAAAAGAAGGTCCATGTGTACTGATACTCTCATGTCAGTATTTCAGTATTAATCCATCTCAGCTTAATAGAAAATATGTTTATTCTCATGCATGAAGGCAGCAATGAGGAAGTAGAGTAGCTATTGGTGGGTAGCCAAAATAATGCAAAAGACTAAAATGCAAATGACCTACCAATAGCAAGGTGAGTTCAGCAAGGGAAAATGTCTGGCCAGTTATGGCAAATTCACTAAAATGGTTGTAATGTATGTGACATTAATGGGGTCACTACAGGGTCAAGATGGATTTGGGGGAAATGATGTAAAACAGATTTTTTTTCATTAGTGTAGAAAAGTACAAAAAGAAACATGTGTTTATTTTGTTGATGTCACAGAAAATAGGATACTTTCCTTGGTAGGTTAAAGGCTAAGGTCTGGATGAGGGCAAGAATGGTCCCAGAAAATCAGAGGATGTTATTCTGTGTACTAGTGAGGCAATATTCATCATACTCCTAGAGAAATGAACCTATCCTCCAGGCAGAGATCAAGATTTCTCTTTGTAAGGTCGCAGAGAGCATTTTCACTGCTGAGAATATTTGACCCAGCTCAGTTGCCCAAGAGAGGGCCTCAAAAGGACTTCATAACATATTCTAACTTGCCTGGTAACTTAAAGTCAGAGAAGATACACTTGTCCCAATCCTCACTCACAACTTGAGTCACCTCGGAATTGATCAGCCTTTTTTTCCATGTGTTCTTTTTGGGCTGTTGTTTTCTCTTCCTAACATTAGGTGTTCTCATTTCAGCACTGTCCAGATTCAATACTGCCTTCTGTAATATTAAAGAGATAGAATGTACATCTCTTAGTTTGTTTAAAGTTTCTGCAAGTCAGTCATTTGGGACTACAGGCAGCTCAATACAAGCAATTGAAGTGTTACTGACATCACTGTGAAGTTAGATGAATAGCTTGAATAGTCCACAACTGATAGAAATATCACATTCAGTATCACAAGAATAGGTTCCAAATCCTTCAAACACAATGCATGTTGGAATTTTTGTTTTGCCTGATTGGAGATTCTTGGAAAACAACTTTGATTCTTGACTTCATATAATTCTTAAAATGTTAAATCGAATTATTCTGGACTGAGGATCACTTTTATGGGAGATGTTAGATAGTAGAGGTGTGCAAATGAATAGGAAAAAATGGAAGTCAGAAGAAATTAGAAGTTTTCTAAGTCAAAAGTCTTTCCGAAGCATTAGCGTGGCCCACTTTTAAAACTTAAGAATCAAAACTGAAACATTATGAAACTTGATGGGCAAAGAGTGGTAAATGTGTTCTACCATTGTAGCAAGTTTAACCCCAATAGCTTTAAAAAATGAGGGAGATAGGAGCCCCTGAAGTTTCAGCAATAGTAGTAATTATTGCATTAATGTGCATGCGCAAACTTGGTGTGGGAAACGAGGAGCCAAATACCTGCTTTAAACTACATTTCCCAGACTTCATCAGCATCAGAAGGTGCCAGTCAGG